GACCCAGATTGTTGGGGGCAATATGCTGACTCTCTGTAAACCGCTTAGAGAGGGCTGAAAGCCCTATGAAGCGGTATATAAGTCTACTGCTATTGGTATTGCTATTTGAGAAAGTTTACCCTGACCCCCCCAGGCGCAGAGTCCGCTCACCCCAAAAGAGGTTTCCTGGCACGGATGTTTCTTCTAAAGGATAAATATCTTCCAAGCCACCCAACAGCTGTCCCTCCTGCACAGAGGCCTTGTCCAGCTGTTGAGAGCATCTGCATGTAAGCACACGCGCGTGTTTTATGCATGCCTTCTTGCAGTTGCCATTTCAAAAGAAAGGAAGAATTTTCAAACAGTTATTCACTACTTAAACCTGAGTATAATCTTTCGGGGTGGGGAGCCGAAAGAATCAAAAGTTTACTTTTCGGAGAAGATTGTAAACAGAGCCAAGTAACACCATGAAGTGCATTCTTTAGTTAGAAGAGTTTAGTTAATTAAAAGTAACATTCATACAGCAATGTTTTTTTTTTTTAAGTTCTGAAAGTATTACAAGAGAGAAGTCATTTATTTTCCATGATCTTCAACCTCTCAAAGGCTTCAGGAGTTGCTTTTTTTTTACACAAAGTGGAGAGTTGTAAGTCATAAAAGGGGGAAACTGAAAGGCAACTGTAGTGTTTTCCTTTTTCAATGTCACCTCAGCCATATTCCTCTCAAAATTCATGTTACAGGAGCTATTCCGCTGGTTTTTTTTCCCAATACAAAGGACTTTGTTCAAAAGCAGGAGGTTTGTCGATATTCCCTTTAAAATTCTCTTTGTGAAAACCAAGAGCTGAAAATATTTATATATAAATAAGAAACATTAAATCAAAAAAAAGAGAGAATTGGAAAAGAAAGACTTAATTTTTCCACTAAACCTGATAAATCTATCAAAACTATCGACTGTTAAATAAGAACATTATAAAAATTAGCAAGAGTGAAAACAGAACGCTCACCTGGCGAACTCAAATCCAAAACGGCCCTATCCTTAAAAGTGCAAAAGTATACAAGGATTACTGCATAATAACAAAAGGTCACCCCCCCAAATCAGTTCCCAAGTCGCCCCAGAATTACCTCGGTATTCCCCACCCTATGCCCCCCCTTTTTTTTT